TATAAATTAATGTACAAAAAAAATATTATAATCACTTAATATTATTAAAGGTAAAAAAACAAAATTGAAATTTATTAGATAATTATTAATTAAAAAATGTGACCACAAATTAAATAATTAAAATGGATAAATTTGTAAATAAAATTAAAAAAATTTAATCCGTTAGCGGTTTGGTACAAAAAACTACATAAACTAGCTTTTTTAATCCGCTAGTAGTTTGAACTCTAACCGCTATCTGTTAGTCTCAAACCGCTAAATAAAAATTTTACCGAACACTTTATATATAGCAATTTCGAAATATATAAATTTACTAAACATCTATATTTAGCGGTTTAGGTAAAACCGTTAACTACTACCTCAAAACCGCTATACCAAACGAGGCCTAAGTGAATGTAAATAAAATTATAAGTTTTAAATAAGTGAATGTAAACAAAATTATAAGTTTTAAATAATATAAAAAATTAATTATAAAATAATATAAAGAATAATTGAGATTTGTTTTAAAAAATAGTATTTATTCATTTTATCTCTTAAAAATTACGAAAAAAATTATTTCAAAATTACGTTATTTTAATAAAATATCAAAAAAAAAACACTCTAATCCATGTTTTAAAAATAAGGTATTTTAATTTTTTTTAATAAGAGTTTATTAAAATTATATAGTTTTAAGATAATTTTTTTTCTTAATCTTTAAAAAGTATAGTGGACAAGTACTGTTTCATTTTTTTAATACATAACTTTTGTTGAGTAATTTCTTTTTATTAAAAAAATTTATTATCATTTATATATTATTTTAAAAAATAATTTAAAAATTAAGGTAAAAATATCAAACAACTTATATTTTAAAATAAAGAGAAGAAAAGAGTTATGTTTATAAATTTAGACTGTATTTTTAATATTGAGTACAATTTAAAATTTAAAATTATTTAATTATCATTAATAAATAAATATATGAAAGAGCTTTATTAAAAATATTAAGTAAATTAATATCTAAATAAACTGCTCTTATATTATACAGCACTTAAATAAAACACAATTTTGTTAGTAAAATTTAAGAGTTCATATCCTTAACAAATAACTTTCAAGTTTTCATCCTTGACTAAAGGTAAAAGACAAAAAAAAAATAAAAAAAATCATATTCTTCACTAGTAAATTACAAAAGTACATGTCTTTATCGTTTACCTTTGGCAAGTAGTTACTGGCCATAAAATGTGATAGATGATGGATAATTAATTGAGAATTTTGTGCAATAAGAACAGCTGAATGAGAGGATAGTAAAGTAATATTAAGTTTTCTCTTATCTAATTGTTTAAATAATACAATTCTCTAGCACTTATTCCTTCAGGTTAACTGGTACCTTACCAGTTTGAAGTGCATTTCTCCTCTTCCATGGAAGCCCGTCACTTGACAACTTATTCAAAATAATAATAATAATAATAATAATACAATTCTCTAGGATCTTTTAAATCTAATGATTTATTTTTAAATTTTAATATTTAAATTTAATTGGTAAAAAATATAACTCTTATCAATAATTTAAAAAAAAATTTCATTCCCCAAAATTTACCCATGTTCAAAAAAAAAAAAAAAGCAATTCTCTATGATTTAAATTTTACCACAGGGTTGTTTTTAATTAATTACACATTAGGTAAACGGTAATGTTTGTGAAATGGAATACGCTTTGAAAACTAGAGAAGCTTAGCAGGTGCGGCTACGGGTACGGCAACGTGTTTATGTGTTTGGACTATTGACGTTTTATATTTTGATTTAACATATTACGAAATAAATTTATTAAAATATAATTATTTTTTAATTTAAAATTAAAATTAAATAAATTTAAAAATATAATTATACACATAAAATATAAAAATCTACTAAATCAATTATATTTATATTATATTTTTAATAATTCAACTAAAAATATATTAAACTAAAGATATACAAATCATTTTTTTTACCATACAAATGTTATCTTTTAAAAAAAAATATTAGTAATGATTTTTAAATTAAGATTAGTGTTAAAATTAAGAAACATATGTCCCAAAATTTTATTATTTTATTAAAATATTATAAAAAAAGGATCAAAGATAAACTCTTTTTTTTTTTAAAGAATTGGTTATTTTAATTTTTTAAATAAGAGTTTTATTAATTGAAAATAAGGTTTTTCTAAATTTTTTTAATTTCACTAATAAATACTTTTTTATTTTAAATATTAATATATAATTATTTTATCATTTATCCATTA